TATCTCAAATTCTTCGTTAAAAACACAAGCTCAAAGTTCATGAAACTGTTGTAACAAAACAACAAATTAACCTAATAATCAATCATATCTGTAATTCACAATCTCTTCTAGTCACGTCTAAGGTGGACTACTCGTTTTTTTATATTGTTCAAATAATTTCTTAAACTTTTAAGGAAATAATTATAAACGTAAATCACGCTTTCGCCATTGTGACTTCAAAGCGAGGCTATCACTGCTAACAACATGGCTCATCGCTTGGTACCGAATTGTAGCAATGACTGGCTTTATAAAGAAAAACAAGTGTCAAACGACGCAAAAAAAACGTATCTTTCCACCAATTCCAGTGAAATAAAGGCCTGAGGAAGAAATGGATTAAACAAGATGAAGGCCCATATTTCAAGGTAAGGTAGTCGTATATGAGCGATAATTACTAAATTAGGGACTTGTTTCTTATCTGCCTATGTTTTCCAGTATTTACATAGATCTAATGTAAAACAAAAAATATATATTTCGTTTGTAATTTATGTTTATTTGAAAGTATTCATTAAATTGCATGCATAACGGAGTATTATTACTGTCAAACATGTCATTTTAAACTAGGCTTATCTCAGTCTGTGTTAACGTTCGTTGACTAGACCTCTAATAAACGATCTATAACTTATAATATAAGTCTCTACCTAGGCATTAATTCTGGGCCAATTGCAATGTGGGCTTTTATAAGTAGGCCTAAAATACATGCAATTAAATTAATCTTCCGATGTAATTATTTCATTTATGCCTTTGTTATATTGGTCTTTAAGGACTATGATTGCATAAATCTATGCTCCTGTAGCTTAGATCTAAGTTTTATTCTCTTATACTAATTTAATAGATCTAGGCCTACTATTAGTTCAGCAATAAATGTGTAGGTGGCTTATAACACAGGGCTTAATGGTTAGTTTTAAAAAGTTTTTCATGTTTAAACCGGTTGTGTCATCATGGTTACCGGTACGCGTTAGGCTTCATGCATAAGAAAGTTAACTGGTTTTTCACAGACCGAGTCGATATCATACTTAAAACGTTTCCGACAGCAAATCTCTTAACTAATATCTCTGATAAACGCCACTTCATCACATCATTGACTACAATATAAAAAATCTATTCTTAAATAATTATTGTCAGTTCTAGTTTCAATCATTGTCGGACCGACCGGTAATGATAGCTGTGGAACTTGCCTCCACCTTCGTGAACGTAGTCCTTTAAGAAATATTTATACGCTCTGCTTGATGTCACTTTAACGACCTTTTGTTTGACGATTAATTTATTGATAACCCCTTCCGGAAATACAGTGCTTATGTTTGTGTGCCAAAGGTCGCGCTTAGTGGTGTGGTTTCATTCACACCAATCGCCATGTTTACGTAAGAACAGCGGCATGTCTAGTCTAGTTTTGAGCTAGCGGCATTGAGATTGTGAACAAGATGCTACGCTGAACCTGACTCTCCCTGGTCCAAAACATGAACCGAATCCTGATGAAGAAGACGAAGCTACGTGTTCGGTACCTAATTAAAAAAAAAAGTGCGTTTCACGATAATTAAAATAACTTATTCTAGATTTTTAGCACGAAGTTTCGCCATTAACATGGAAATCTAATCAGTACGTCCTTTTTTATTAGCACGAAGTTTCGCCATTAACATGGAAATCTAATCAGTACGTCCTTTTTTTATTAGCACGAAGTTTCGCCATTAACATGGAAATCTAATCAGTACGTCCTTTTTTTATTAGCACGAAGTTTCGCCATTAACATGGAAATCTAATCAGTACGTCCTTTTTTATTAGCACGAAGTTTCGCCATTAACATGGAAATCTAATCAGTACGTCCTTTTTTTAGTGTTGTGTATAAACCAAACTACGTTCTCCAAGTCCCTCACATCAATAAATGGGAACCAAACATATAAATTTGTTTATTAAAAGTTTGAACTTTACTCTACTTGACCAGGAGCTTAGAAGAATGTCCTCAAAAATATTTTATACCACTGGCTTTGGCTGTTCGTGTTTTTGAAGGTCTTGGGGCTTCTGCTGTCTTAACAGCTTGCTTTCCTGTTGTGGCTGCCGAATTCCCAGTGGATGCAGTTTCTAAATGTGTAAGTTAGTGTTAACTGATTATTCCTAAACATACACATTATGATAAAACCATTATTTTATTTTGGGCAATGGAAACATTGAAACAAACTCCGATTAATTTATTGTGTTACCCGTCTTTAATAAATGTCTCAAAAACCTTTCCTAAACTTAAGTTACACTCGCTTTATCAAAAGTGAAACGATACAGACAAGAACAGTTATTTCCTTGGATATGTACGAAAGCTGTAAAAGCGCGCGAAACGGCTCTGATATTAACTCCGACGTGTCCTATGATTGTTAAAACACAAGGAAAGTGGCTGAAAATTCGTATCAACGTTCATAACTTTATACCTTCGCTTTCAACTTGTTGTTATAGATCTATACCTTACATGGCGCCAAATGTACCTTTGCAATTTTAGCAAAAATTGTTTGTGGAACTTGTATACTTCATACTTTGTGGATTTGGTAACAGTAAACGATGATTCGATCAGTGGGAGAGAATAGAAAAATATCATATTCAAGGTACACTAATTACACTGAAGCACGAGATGGGGAGTTTATTTTTTTTTACAAAACTGATGGCACCCTGACTGCTGGTAAGTACATTCGGATCTATCATGGAATCAGCAAACAGAATCGTATGATGAAACGATATGTTGAGAGTAAAGAGGCTGACTGAGCAAAATCTAAATATGAACATTCTTGAAACTATATGGGCTTATTTAAAACTTATTTAGAAGGTTTGGTTTGAAGTTCACGAGGGTCACCCGAGTTAGCTGTCCCTAATTTAGCAGTGATAGACTAGAGGGAAGGCATCCAGTCAACACCCCACTTCCAACTCTTTGGCTACTCTTTTCACCTTCAAATAGTGGGATTGACCGTCACATTATAACGCCGTAACGGCTGAAAGGGCGAGCGTGTTCGACGAGAGGGTTTCGAACTCGCGTCCCACAGATTGTGAGTGGAGCCCCATAACCACTAACTGAGAAGGTCAAATACGACTAAATAACTTGGCTGAATAGTAGGAATTAATACAGGTTATTTGTAACAATATTCTACAGTCGTACATCGGTAGCCTGTACGGCAACATGAAGACATACAGTCGTACATCGGTAGCCTGTACGGCAACATGAAGACATACAGTCGTACATCGGTAGCCTGTACGGCAACATGAAAACATACAGTCGTACATCGGTAGCCTGTACGGCAACATGAAGACATACAGTCGTACATCGGTAGCCTGTACGGCAACATGAAGACATACAGTCGTACATCGGTAGCCTGTACGGCAACATGAAGACATACAGTCGTACGTCGGTAGCCTGTACGGCAACATGAAAACATACAGTCGTACGTCGGTAGCCTGTACGGCAACATGAAAACATACAGTCGTACATCGGTAGCCTGTACGGCAACATGAAAACATACAGTCGTACATCGGTAGCCTGTACGGCAACATGAAAACATACAGTCGTACGTCAGTAGCCTGTACGGCAATATGAAGACAAAACTTTACAGCTTATTCACTTGGATTTGTATTTTCTCTGATAATGTTTCGTATCATTTATAGTCCCTCGGTGGGGCAGCATTAAGTCTACGGACTAACAACGCTAAAATCCGGGGTTCGATTCCCTGCGGTGGTCACAGCAGATAGCCCAATGTGGCTTTGCTATATAAAATAAACAAACAATCATACCACTTATACCATTACTCGTTGTTTGTGACCGCCTTAGTTTATTGTCTCTGTGTTTTACCATAGTTAATTACATTAATGTACATCCTGAGTAAATAATGTATCAGAACAATACCTTAAAAACCCTTAGGGTTAACATACAAGATGTGTAGGACTTTTTAAACTTTGCTATTACTCTATTATTCGTTAGGCCATTCTTCAAATGTTCTTTGGATTGGGATTCATTGTTGGACCTACAGTTGGCGGACTTTTATACGAGGTAAGCCCAAGTTATCGAATTTAGTGGTGTATACAAATGTGATTTTATATGCGAATATTTCTGTCAGTGATTCACGTCACTTGAACGAAAAGATGGCAATCTGTTAAAACACGCTCAAAATGACTCGGCCATTTGTGAAAACCAAAACAAAATAAATATATTGCTGACTGGAGATGTCTAAGAATTTTTCTTCAATTTTATGTCTGGATGTTTTGGTAGAAAACGAAGAGAATATACGATAAGGAGCATACAATACTCTGATGGAGTTCAAATCTTAGAATAAATATATATAGTCCTTAAAAGCATGTCAATTAATAATATATTTATGTTCTTATTTTAATAATAATAATAAATAGTATGCCTAGCATGTTCGATTTTGTGTGTGTTAAATGAGACAGTTATATAGACACTTACTGTAATCCGGTAGAAAGTACACCATTAAGGTTTAAATGATGAAAATAATAACCTTTTGTGTGTTAAATGAGAAGGTTATATAGACACTTACTGTAATCCGGTAGAAAGTACACCATTAAGGACCCAGCAAAAAGACATCCACCGTTAACGAAAAATGGGAATTTATATCCTGCCACCTGGTGGAAAGTACAAGTTGAGTCAATATAAACATGGTCAACTGTAGTTTTGTCGATTTACGAGTCATTAAGGTTTAAATGATGAAAATAATAACCTTGTACTTTCTACCGGATTACAGTAAGTGTCTATATAACCTTCTCATTTAACACACAAAAGGTTATTATTTTCATCATTTAAACCTTAATGGTGTACTTTCTACCGGATTACAGTAAGTGTCTATATAACCTTCTCATAACACACAAAAGGTTATTATTTTCATCATTTAAACCTTAATGGTGTACTTTCTACCGGATTACAGTAAGTGTCTATATAACCGTCTCATTTAACACACAAAAGGTTATTATTTTCATCATTTAAACCTTAATGGTGTACTTTCTACCGGATTACAGTAAGTGTCTATATAACCTTCTCATTTAACACACAAAAGGTTATTATTTTCATCATTTAAACCTTAATGACGGGAGAATATTTTTTTATCATCAAAAATCTCATCTACGTTTGTTTTCGATCATTAGAATATTTAATTTCCTATTTTTTTTTATTCTGAATTTCAGTTGGAAAAACCAAGTTTATATATTAAGAATACACGGTGGTCAATTACTGATAAAATTATTCCAAAAATATTAACATTACTCACGTGATCTAACTGATTAATTACACGAATAACTAACAAAAAAATATTCAGTTTTTCTATTATTTTGCTCCGGTATTATATGATATTCATTGATACTTCTCGCGTCTTCTTCTCTATCAGGTATAGAAAATCCGAAAATTAGTTCGGGAATAAAACTGTTCACGGATTGGGTGATGTTCCTATGTGGAACAACAATATTCAGCGCTCTTCTCTTCATCGGTTTCAACAACACCACCCTCGAACCTCACCTGAGACAGGTAGAACGTTCTTCTAACTGGTATCTATTCCTTTATTAAGGAATAGATACCAGTTAGAAAGTTAGTGTTCTTAAGAAACAGACAAGGTATTAATTAGGCATAAGTGCAAGAAACAGCTGATGTAGTGTTACAATTATTTTATTTCTTGACAGTTTGGATTATCTCCGGTCTATGTGGGACTTGTGTACATGAATGTTGTTGTAGTGTTACAATTATTTTATTTCTTGACAGTTTGGATTATCTCCGGTCTATGTGGGACTTGTGTACATGGCTGTTGTTGTAATGTTACAATTATTTTATTTCTTGACAGTTTGGATTATCTCCGGTCTATGTGGGACTTGTGTACATGGCTGTTGTTGTAATGTTACAATTATTTTATTTCTTGACAGTTTGGATTATCTCCGGTCTATGTGGGACTTGTGTACATGGCTGTTGTTGTAATGTTACAATTATTTTATTTCTTGACAGTTTGGATTATCTCCGGTCTATGTGGGACTTGTGTACATGTCTGCTGCGATTGGTTTTTGTCTGTCATGTTTGTTTATTGGAAATCTTCTCAACAAGAAAGTAAACGTGGTGAGTTGTTCTACACAGTAAAACCTGTTAGTCACAGTTTTGATTTTGAGCAGTTGAAAATGTGAAAGTTATAAGTCAGCTTTAATTAAAATGATTGTCAAATAAACCAGATAATAGACGTAAGTTTTATTCTGAATTACAAGATGTGGACAGGTAGTAAAATAACGTTACTCATGGAGTCCTAGTTCGCACAAGACATCCTAGTTTAAACCTTATGTTTAAGAAATCATTTTACTTATATGAACAATGTGTAAATCTCTGCTGAACAAAAAAAAACCTTTGAATTATATTTCAAATTGTGAAAATTATTATGAAAATGTAATTTTTTTTTCCACCACGTGTGTGATAAATAGATGGTGTTAGAAATTTGTTGATCTGTCTACTTAATTATCACTTCACCCTCCGGTGGTTCAGCGGAAGTTCGCGGGATTAGAACGCAAAAATTCGAGTTTATATACACGTTGTTGGCAGAGCACATATAGCACATTGTTTAGGTTTGTGCTTAACAATAAGCAAAAAAAAAAGAAAAAAACGTCTTTCAATGGAGATTTGAGAAATGTGTTTATATTTAATTTAGGCAACATGTCAACAGTTGCCATATTAAAATTAGTGTTCGAAGATAAAAAAAGGAACATGAGATCTATAAAACGTTTTTACCTCTTCTGCTAACACTGTATTGACTTTCTCTGGTAACTTACTTGAAATACAAAAAATTATCTTGCCAACTTCCTGCCTAAAAACGTTGTTTGTTTTGAATTTCGCGTAAAGCTAAACGAGGGCTATCTGCGCTAGCAGTCCCTAATTTAGCAGTGTAAGACTAGAGGGAAGGCAGCTAGTCATCACCACCCACCGCCAACTCTTGGGCTACTCTTTTACCATCGAATATAACGCCCCCACAGCTAAAAGGGGCAAGCATGTTTGATGTGATGGGGATTCGAACCCGCGACCCTCAGAGAGCCCTAACCGCCTGGCCATGGATACGAGACGTTTTCGGTGATAATTCCGCTTGTATCAAAGACGTTAGATATCATTCAGAATTACTATACAAAAAAGCGAAAATTAGGTGACAGAGACTTGCAAAGTGAGTCCCCTTACGTTGGGAATGTGTGACCTATAAATGAAAATTTACCACCTGTAAGCTCGGCAATTGTTCAAAGTGCTCAGTTGACGACACTACATTGATCTTCAAGCCTAGATATATATATAATATAATGTCGTTTCGAGTTGAGTGATCAATTCAAAGTGCTCAGTTGACGACACTACATTGATCTTCAAGCCTAGATATATATATAATATAATGTCGTTTCGAGTTGAGTGATCAATTCAAAGTGCTCAAATGACAATATCAGTTTTGACCATCTTGTCAAACCTCAAATATAGTTTAGATAAGTTTTTCGTTCTGTTTATAATTTACGTTAATACTACTCCATGTCACCCTGATTTATAATTCAATTCAAGGCGAATATTTGTATTTAAAGCAGGGTTACCAGATGCTCTTGACAAAAATAGGACAGCCTGTTAATAAAAACTGGACATTCAAACCAAAAACAAATGCAATACCAGGAGGAATACAGTAGGAGTTCAAAGCAATGATTGCTAACTCTTTATAACATTTTTCTCCAACTGCATTTTCCTAATTCAACAGAAAATCCCAAAACTCAACTGGATCTGATGGAATTTGTGGGCCAGGAAATTCCTCTCGCCAATTAGTTTTCACAGAGATGCGTTCATGTTGCTTAGCCACTTTCATAAAATCAGTATTTTCTTCTTTTGCCAACTGTTCAAGGGGGAAGATCACTTAATCGTGGTTTAATTTGGCTAAGGCAAACACTAGGATTAAAGTATTTCATATATTCCATTTTCATTGTTGTCTTGTTAATTCTTTTATCAATCTGGTTTATTGCTTCGAGTAAGAAGTCATGGCAGCGTTACTAAATGACTAGTTTTTTATCACTGCTTATTTTGCTACATTTCAAGTCATATTCAAATTTTCCTCTGAGTTTACCATCACTAAATGACCAAGGCCATTTTCTCTGATGAAAATGTTTTAGTTCTTCAGATCCTGAAATAAACTGCTAGGATTAGGATTTGATGCCTGGAATGTAGAATTGAGTGATTCAAAATTTTGAATCAAGGAAAGTTTGTTAACTTCATTATTTCTCTCAGAAGGCGTTTCTGTCGAGAACTGAGCAGAAGTGGCCTTTAACTTCTTCCCATTGCAGAAGTGGGTTTTAACTTCTTTCCATTGTTCTACAATTATTTGTATCCATTTTCCTCACACAAACCATCTAGTTTTACTTGTTCTAACAAATTTGTCCTCACACAAACCATCTAGTTTTACTTGTTCTAACAAATTTGTCCTCACACAATCCATCTAGTTCTACTTGTTGTAACAAATTTGTCCTCACACAATCCATCTAGTTTTACTTGTTCTAACAAATTTGTCCTCACACAATCCATCTAGTTTTACTTGTTGTAACAAATTTGTCCTCACACAAACTATCTAGTTCTACTTGTTCTAATAAATCTGTCCTCACACAAACCATCTAGTTTTACTTGTCCTCACATATTGTTCAATTGTGACGTATTGTTTGTAGTCCTCTCGACGCAAAGAATTTAAAATGATCCAGTGAGAAATCATGTAGTTTAAGTTGGAAGGGAAAAATTTAAATGCTTTTTCACAGCACAGTGTTAAAGTGTAACAAGTACATTTCACAAGTTTAATG